ATTGTATCGTGTTTCACTTAAATGATTACCATTTACTTCTTTTCAACTACTCTCGTTATAGCGTTTTTATTCGAAGTTTTTTTTTGTTTGTTCATTTTGTCTCCTTTGTTGTTGTAGCTGTTTGAGGTAAATGTTTGCTGGTATTCATGAAAGAGAATATAGATAATGGTTGTATATATATATATATGTATTTAATATTACGTCTGTGCAGGCAGGCTTTTATTCAACCACGTAGTGCTGACTACTGACAACATAAATATTGAGAGTATAAAATGTAATGTTCACCCGAGACAAGTGATGTAGAGGCCAACCGGTTAGCTCAAAATGTAGAGCGTTGGACTGTAAATAGGGCGACCCAAGGGCGCAGGTCACTTTCGTTGTGATTGATCATGAAATCCTTTCTACAGTAATTCGAACGAAGTACCCCTGATCTCTTTTGTACAGAAGTTTCAGTTGCTTGCGAAAGTGAAGGCAAAGAGTACTGGTAAACTGCTTGACAGTCTGCCCAGGAACGATAAGGTGGCTGAACCGTGCTCTGGTGGCTTACTGTCGTGATTCGGATTGAAAACTACCAACACCACACCAGACTAGTGATCTCAACCGAAGCGTTATCATACCAAACAAATCTATATACTCAAGATAGGAATCTCAAACATTTTATAATAAAAGTAAATATATGACAGGTTATCACATATGCTACATTCTAGCATGATTACGCACATATAACCGCCTCCGTGGTCGAGGGGTTAGAGTCGATAACTTCTAATCCAGTGTCGCGTGGGTTCGATCCCCGGGAGATGCTTTGGTAGTTTAGCACGGAAGAAGGGGTAGTCAAGTACTGGTGTAACTCTCCAGGAACGATGGTTAGGAAACTACCCGCCAATATGACTCAGGCCGGGTTGCAAACGATTCTAGCGATGCACGATACCGTTATCAAGTGTTACCATCGTGGAATTGACTGTGTCTCTGGTGTGAAGTAAATATCCAGATAAAAGACACTCGGATGAACAGCTTGCGTCTGTAGGAGTAAGACTGAAGCTCGATACGCAGCTATAAATATACAAAAGACAGCTTTATCATAACGTTAAAAGTACAATATGTCAGATCCCTACACTTAACTTGAAAGCACCTTCTCTAGTTACACTGCATTTATTTTAGTTTGATTCGACTCATACATACAAAGTTTATACATTTTATGTTAAAGTGACTGGAGACAAAGTATGCAAATTGAAAGTAGCCATATGATTCATATTAAATCTCTTATGGTGTAAATACATTGATCGATCTAGATCGATCTATAAATGTTTTTGTCTAAATTGAATAATTATGCACAGCAAATACGCATTTATATATAAATTAATATTTTTAACTGTAAGGTAATAATGCAAAAATAAATCTGAAAAGAAAAGATAGTTATCTAATAGGGGAAAGTTCTTTGGTAGGGAATCGAAAAGAAATTCACATGCTAGTTTGTTTTCATTCTACAAAAAGAAAACTTTGCTAGGGTTTTAAAAATACTTTGATTCATTTTATAAAGAAAAAACTTTGCCAGGGTGTTTAAAAGACTTTTATATAAATGCTGGTTCGTATTCATTTTACAAACAGAAAACTTTACGAGGGTGTTGAAATGACCTTTATATAAATGCTGGTTTGTATTCATTTTACAATCAGAAAACTTTGCCAGGGTGTTGAAAAGACTTTTATATAAATGCTGGTTCGCATTCATGTTACAAATAGAAACTTTTTTTTTTTTTTTTTTGGGGGGGGGGGGTTAAAAAGACTTTAATACAGATGCTGGTTTTTATTCTTTTTACAAAAGGATGTTGAACACTCATTCTCACTTAAGTACGACATTTCATAAATTCTAGAACTGAAAAATGAACTTTCTTGTATATTAAAATTTTATTCCATTCCAAAATTATAAGTATCTCGACATCTTAAATATAAAATATTACCAGTACAGATGTCCTAGATTTTTCCCTAAGACAGGTTTTCTAGATAGAACCAGAAAATAAATTTCGTCATTTTCGAGACACTGGTCCTTAAATTTGTGCATATGGTATGTCAATTTTATTTTGTCTCTTTAAATAAATTTTCTATCATCTATTTACATGAACATTTGGAAATGAGAATCAATCATTGAACTGACAAAAAATATATCTTTTTAAAAACAACTCATGGAAATGCATTTTATATCGAATATGCTTAAATCTCATTTTCAAAATGAATAACCTTACAAAATCCACAGATCCATACAATGGACGAGTAAGAAAACGTGAAAAATACTGACGAATTCTTGGAAGTACCTACTTATTTATTATTCAATTGTCAAATGTGAAATAATTTACGTCATCTCATATATTGACAATTTATTAAGGACTCGTAAATGATTTTTCAATTGTCCCGTAAGTGACCCAGTCTCCAGATGCTATGGATTGACAGAAAGAACTGTAAATACTTTGAATTATATATTTATAATGATTGAAGATTAACCTATATTTATTTATGAAATGGAGCAGATATTCCTTTGGCAAGGTTGGGCTTTATTATCAATATTTAAACAGTTGAACTGAAAATAGTAAAAAAATGAGTAAAAGATCGTATAAATGGTCTTAGAAGTTCAACAAAATTGCTAGATTTGCATAAAATCCAAGTTAGTGTAAACGAAAACAATAGTACGAATGAAAACAAACATTTTTTCTCATAGAAATATCACTTTCATTGAGAAAATCACTATTTTATAATTTTCTTTAGCTCTGGTCATTTACGGGACAAGTCAATCTTATTACTATTATCTTACAATTGAACTGCAAAACAATGTACAGTTTGTTTGTTTAAACAGATATTAAGTATCTAGATAAACTAAAATATATTATATCAAGATGCATGAAAAGTCATTGTCCATTTAAATGAAACATCTATGAAAATGTTATAACGTTTTCAGAATGTGTTTAATTAAGGACAAATACTAGTAAGTTCTCACTTTATCTGCTCCAAAGAACCTTTTAACTTACAGTTAATACAAGATACTCAAATATTATTGCGTTTTCATTGATAAGCGTGGACTCAAAATTTCCTATTACTCGAATGAATATTCCAAAATTAATTTTACCATTTACGGGACAGTTCAGCCAGATACGGGACACGCCTGTTTTCATGTTTACTTCATTTTGTGATTGAAGTATAAGTTTGAATGTATTCGTATATGAGAGTAAGTATCCATTGAACTGTATTATAGTCAAAACGTCTGAATACCAATTACAATATCAAAATTATGTTTTTTAGAAGCTATCTGCAAGTGAAAAACACATTTCAGATGCGTATGTTTAAAAAAAACATGGATACTTCTTTGTTTTCGTGGAAGAATACTATTCCAACAATACCAACGTCCATTAACAAGTTGAAATAATTCAACAAATTTAGCAGAATAAATCACAAGAGAATGTGAAAGAGGGTGAGTCCCGTAAATGATAGGCTCGTAAATGTTGAAAATTTCTGTTTGACAAGGGAATTTTATGAGAAATTGTGAAATGGTTTACATGAATGGCAGAATATAAGCAAGACAAAAATCCGCTCTAGATATCTGAAGTATTATAACATTGAAATAATTGAAAATATATTGCAAAACGCATGGTATTGATGAGCCTCGTAAATGATTTTCTAAAAATTACGCTTGTAAAATCCAAATTAACGTGAAATCCTTAACAAAATGGTTACACAGATACTCTTACTCTTCATATTTTATGTGAACTATATTACTGTAGACTTAATATTGCTATTGAAATAACCATTTATCAGTTACCATGTATAATTAACATTGTTTTGCAATTAAGACTCGTAAATGATTTCGACTTTGAAGACAAGCAATTCAAATTTGATTTTGAGAAAATTAATTTTCATAATATCAAAAACAGATTTATATGTCAAAATCTGCAAAAGAATAACGAAAATAAGCTGTAGTTACTGTTAACCACGACTTTTTGTACGAAGATACGTGCAATGAAACATACTTCGATTTAGTTGAAGACTGTTTTTCGTACCCCTTCCTTGCAAAAGCGATTGCCACTAGCAAAATCAAACCAATAGGCTAGTAAACTTGCGCTCAAATTAAATCTTTGATGCAGTACCAATTGTTAAAACATTTTACAAGAATGTTCGGGCTTATATATCTCCACAGATTTTCATAGAACATTGAAGACATGGAATGTCGTACTTAAGTGAGAATGAGTGTGAAATGACCTTTATATAAATGTTGTTTCGTATTCATTTTACAAACAGAAAACTTTGCGAGGGTGATGAAAAGACATTGATATGCTTGTTTGTATTCATTTTACAATCAGAATACTTTACCAGGATGTTGAAAAGAAATTAACATGTTGATTCATATTCAATTTACAAACATAATACTTACATAACAAACTGGCTGTAATTGACGTCTGTGGGATGCTTTCAGATATAGGTGTCAAATAAACAGCATATGCTAGTAAAATGGTAAATGCAAGGCCTACTCTTTCACCAGAATCCGGGCTAAGTTTGAATAGTGCCACCTATGCAAACAGACAAGACAAAGTAAATGTGATAAGAACACCTAGCTATGTAAATAAAATAAACCAGGAAATATGGTCAAATATACAAATGATTTTATCTGTTTTTGTATTAATTG